TATTGTAATATAAGGGGTTAGATTCATCTATGGAGGACAGAGCAGGCTGCCTGGGGATTGGGTGGGCGCAGGGCTGGTCAGGCCTGTGGCCAGGAAGGATGCCCATCCAGGAGCAGAGGGTTCTGTCCCATCCTGGGCCACACTTCCCCTGCCAGGGCCTCTGGCTCTCTTCTGCCTTGATGAAGCCCATGCCACCTGCAAGTGCCCAACCTGCCCCCAATTCCCAACCCCAACCAAAGGCCCTGAGCTCAGGCTGAGACCAGCACCTCCTAAGGACTTTCCAGTAAGGGAACAGCAGCAGGTGGAGGTGCCTCCCTATCCCCAGCTGTCACTTGTGTGGCCTCTGGCTGGCTCCACCTCCAACCTCGCTGGCATGCTGGCCCCCGCAGTTGTAGGGCCCCTCAAGGAAGGAGAGAGCCGCAGCCGGGCCCCCACCCTGGCAGGAAAAGGCGGCTTCCCACTGGCCCGGGCCAGCCCGGCCTCTTGGCTGCTTTGGCTGTAGCACCATCTTGGTCCTGTCACCCTGGCCACAACTATTAAAGTGCCATTTCCTGTCTGGACTGCAGTGGGTGTATCTATGTGGACCGTTCCCATGCTCAGCTCATTCCCATCCCAGGAAAGCCCGAGGCTTTACTGCACAGAATAGCTTTATAAGTGATTCCCGTCACCGGCGTGTGTCGAAGTAATACTCGGCCATGTCTGGCCCATCCCGCTTGCGCTGCTGGGCCCGGGAGAGGAGGGGTCGAGGCCCTCGTCGCCTTGGGTGCTTGGGTTGGATCCCATAGTCTAAAGAGAGACAAGAGGCTATGGGTGGAGGGAGACTCTGGTTTTGAATCTGCTGAAGTCGCCCCTGAAAGGTGCTGTTTGAGATAAGATGACCCGGAGGCTGGACCTGGATGCCCTCCCCTAGGGCATGTCTCCTCAGAGGAGGGGAGGCAGGAAGGGGAGGGATGCAGGATCCTACCATCCAACAGGTCAGACAGTGGCTGTGCGAGTTCCAAGGGGGCTGAAAATTCCTCGGGAACAGATCGCTGAGGCCTGTGGGAGATGGTGGGTGCTCAACGCTGGCCCCAAAGGCCACTTTCACCTCCCCGTGAAGCAGGGAGTGGTCCAGGATGACACCAGCCTCTCCTCCTCTGCCATGCTGCCCCCCACCGTCCAGGCCCCAGGCCCTGCTGAGCCCTGGCCCTGTGCTCCTGGGAGTTACCTCAGCGGCCGGGGGTGGAGGAGTGCAGCCGCCAGGAGGAGGGAGAGGAGGCAGAGGCTCAGCAGGGCCCTGGAGAACAGAGCCATCTGCACAGGTCCGGACCGGCTTCTGCTGCCCCTCCCCCAGCAGGACGGAACCGCTGCCAACTTCCAGGGCCACCTCACAAAGGGCATTAGTTCCAGGGCTGAGCGTCAGCACCAGCTCCTGACTCGGCCAGAAACCTCCACGCTGAGGTTTTCCGTTGGATTTTACTGATGATGTAGGTCAGCAGGTGCCAAGTCACATCTGTTCTAGTGCCACTGCCCAAGGTGGGTATAGACCTTTGGAGTCAGCTCTCAGTCCACCTTGCCTCTTGCCAGCTGGACACGTCACTAATCTCTGTGGGCCTGTTTCCTCATCTGTGAGGTAAGGCACATAATGTTTCCAAGGTCTGGCACACAGTAGGCCATCAGCAAAAGTCAGTCACTGAATCCTCATCCCCCAGAGCCCCACCCATTCCCATTCGGCCTCCTGCTACCACCACCGGCCACCTCCACCGTCTCTCCCTCCAACAGCTCAGTCGTTCCAGGAAGGTCCTGCTGGCCGAAGAGCCCAGAGCGGTCACTCAGCTTGGACAGCTCCGAGATCCCACGGGGGGACGCATTCTGAGGAACTTCCCACTTAGCTCCCCATAGTGTTGGACAGCCTGGCTCAGGGCCTCCACAGGCCCTGCCATCCATCACCCCAGAGCCTGGGCAGAGGGCAAGTTTGGTGGCAAAGGCTGGGACCTGCTCCTCAAGTATAAGTTTCCAGAGGGACTATGGGATCCCCAGTACTTGACATCTAGTGGGTGCTCAATAAAGATTTGTTGAGTGAATAAATGCAATGAGACTGTCCTGGAGGATCTTAACAGCCTGTGGCTGAGTTGGGGACCCTGTCTTTGGTTCCTGTCGGCTCTGTTAATGTGGGGCTGACCTGGCTCACTGCAGAAGCTCTGAACCCAAATGATGCTGGGTTGAACCACAAACTCTGGGCCCTACCCAGACCTGTGGGATCAGAACCTGAGGCTGATCTGGGGGTCTGCACTTGGGAAACTCCATTGCTTCTAAGACAGCAGATCTGTTGGCAGGTCCAACCCCTTCCTTCAACTACTGAGGTGCCTCAGGCCCAGAGAGGTTTCCCAACCTGGCTCCTGGTCCAGCCCCTGAGTCCAAGCAGCTCTGGAGTCTGCAGTACACCTGTTCCCTGCTCTTGGAGCACACCCACTGGCTTCTCACTGACTACCTCCATCCTAGTGTGTCCTGAACACCACAGTCTGCTTCTGTTTCCCACCTCTGCTGGGAACAATGAGCTCCCTGACGCTCTAACTCCAAACCCCTTGACCTTCACTCGTCTTGCCCCCAAACTGCCACCTCTTCCTCTCTACAACCAGTTCCAAGGCCTGCCTGGGCCACTCCTAAGCCTATCGCCCTGCCATGGCCTTAATTCAGCCCCCTCCACTGTTCTAGGTCTCCACCAGCGACGTCACTGCCCCCATCCTCTGTCTGTGCCCATCAGCCCACCCTGCACCAAGCAGCTTTCCCACTGCCTGCGAGGCAGTTCCATTTCTCACCTGGTACCTGATGGCCTGTTGGATTTGGCCCTGACCTTCTCTAGCCTCATCCCCTCTGTTCCCACCCTCTACCTCCCTCTGCCCCAGCACTGGCTTCATGCCACTGCCACACTACACATGCTGCTTTCTGCACGCAGGGCCTCTTCCCCGGGTCTGTCATCAAAAAACAGATGGAGCTTTACCAGTTTAACAGCCTGTTTGAACGAGGCTTCCCTGACCTGTGAGCCTTCCCGGTCGTCAGCCTGAGCCGGAACACACCCTGAGTCTAGACTACTTTTCACACACACTTGCACTCGCTGCAGCGACCTGCGCACTGCATGCATTTCCATGTGTCTCCTCCACCGATTGCTGGGAGCTGGGGCAAGAACTGTGCTGTACTCATTTATGAACAAACTGCACAAAGCAGAGCCTGCTACAGAGCAAGTACCCAGCAATCCTTGGTAGACACAGGGAAAGTTGTGGGCCTCAAGCTGTGACAGGGCCTGGGGTTGGTGGCTTCTGAGGCACTGGAGAAAGCAGTCCAGAACCAAATCCTCCTGGACTGAGAAACCAAGATGGCGGCATAGGTAAACACCAGAGATTGCTGCCTCGCACAACCACTTCAAAAGTACAACTAAAAGATGGAACGGACATCATCCAGAACCACAGGAAGGCTGGCTGAGTGGAAATTCTACAACTAGAAGGAAAGAGAAAAGCATACCGAGACTCAGATGAGGTGTGGTGTAGAAGTAAAATACAGAGGTACAGAGACACATGTGGAGAGGGTTGGCGGCTGAGGACACGGTTGTCTTTTTCAATCGGGAGGATTCTCAAGCTCTGAGCTCCAGTTCCAGGTGAGTCTCTGGGGACCCAGACTCATACAGGAGAAACTGGACTGTCTGGCATCGGTCAGAACTCGAGGGCAGCTTTCTCTCGGGGGTGCTTGCAGCGGTTGACGGGACACTGAGAAGGAGGGCCTCTGAGGGCAGGACTGAGAGCAGCCATAACTGCTCGCTCCGCCCTGTTGATCTCCTGGGACCCTGCCCTGCCCAAGCCATGGATGCTTTTGCATATGAAAGGCCTGGTCCTTTGCAATCTGATAATTACCTAACAAACTGCAGCTGGCCCAAGGCCCCAGGGCAACTTGCATTGCATCACAGCTTCCTGCTGGACAGCCTTAGGCAGAGGCTAGATTAGCACCTCAGAGAAGATCCAGGAGCCAGTGTGCCCGGTGGTCAGAGTGGGACCATCCAGATTACAACTCCTCGGATCCATAAAGGACACACCCAGGGGG